TTTTATAAGGTATGGATTAAGCCCAACTCTATCTTCTAGATTTAGCATACAGCTGATATTTTTCAAGGATATGGATGGCAACTTTGTGATTGATTATACAAAAAATGATTAAAATAATTTGTATTTCGTAAAGCACTAGGTTTCCTTGCCGAAAGCTGAACTACTAGGTCAGCAGAATATTTGGAGAATAATTAATAATAGGAAAACAATATTTCCTTAATTTCACTGATTACAAAGTTTATACAACAAAATTACTGTTTTGTAAGTGATCACAGATCATCAGTTCAGGTCCAATAGAACAGACTATATTAAATTTAACCTCAACATTCTTGAGGAATGATACCAACTATTTGACAAATGCTTTTTTGTTTATCGATCCTATCCACTTAGAAGATGGTCAGTCCAAGAAATAGGTAGACTTCTGTTCTGGGGTTGGAAATATATTTCTGGAATATAAACATTCTAAACTAAATTAAAAGTAATTTATTGAGATAAAAAAAGATAGCTCATAAGATTTAAGCCACTAAAAAGGATGGTAGGAAGAATTCATATTTAAAAATGAAGTGATTTGTTGTACTCAAATTTTCAATCAAGATTTTGAGCATGTTTTTTTGAAATAAAAGAAAAAAAGATATTTACTCTTTTGGGTATATTGATAATTCAGTTTTTAAGGTAAATTGTTCTGTTTCTGATAACTTTTTAAGTGTATCTAAGCCTAAAAACTAAGATGACTTAATGACGAAGCATTTTGTGTGTTTCTGTTTTTGACAGGTGAATTAATTTATCTATTATGATATAATCAAACATTTTAAGTGAAATAAAATTCAAATATTGAGATGGTGGAGAAGATTTGTAGCTAAGGTGAATGATTTTGATGGAGTTTTGTTCTCTGAGCTGGATGGTTTGGTCGAATTCATCAACAATACTATTTTTAAGAACATAATTGTAAAGAAATATCATATATGATGAATAGTAGCAGGCAATAAAGCTTATGCAGTGAATATAGTCTTATTTGAGGCTGGTCTGCTGGATATAACTCTATCATAATATTGATGCTAATAAGAAGTCTTGAATTTGATAATATACAAAAAATGAGTAACGTGAAAGGGAAAATCTATTTGACCAATTACGGTGAATCTCAAAAGCCATTCACCTTTAAATTGCAAAAAGAGTATAGGTGTGAAAATGTGATTTGGAAAATAGTTCATAAGCATGTTGATTCTAGTTCTATTTGGTAAAGGTTATCCAGTCAAACATCATTGTTCGTTTTATGAATATTTCAAAGGTCTACATTTATTTCTGTATATGTAAAAAAAAGCGCAGTGAAATAAACCTAACTTTTCGGTTAGTTATTTATGATGCTTTTAAAACTGATTATCAGTAAATATACCAGCTATAGCGAAAATGTCTATTTTGATATTTGTCAAAAAAGAAATAACGAATCGAGCGATGAAATTTCTTCTGAGTTAGTTTTTCATCATAGTTCTACACTAATATATATGATATATAACAATGAAATAATATCAGAAGGAGGTATTGTGGAGATTTTAGTAATTTTATGGTTTAATTCATGAGTTAATTGAAGTTAGACCACCATGGAAAATCTGAAAGCATTGGACGGCCGTTTCGTCCTAGTATGGCACTCCTCAGCAGTTAGCATTCACAATCCCGCCCTGAGAGATTCGAACCCGGGACTCAATTTGGTGGATTGGTTGAAGTTAGATATTAACACGGTTGGATACCAGGTCAGTGATTTGGAGGTTAGGCGTTCGCGCGCGAGACTGATAGTACACATATGGACAAACTTTATCTTTTATTAACAATATCTAGTCAACCATTTCAAAGCATTACAAAATGTATGAATATTTATTTATCTACTTACATAAATGTATCACAGGGAAATGAGCAAACATTCAAAAGTGAAACAACTCTCATTTAATATAATGAACAAACACTAACAATTTTCACTGGTTGTTGTTTCACCTGGAGACAGAAAAATATCTTATTTCAGTTTAGTCTAATGACTCCACTGAGAAGAACACTTAGTTCATGTGAACCAAGTATTAGTTGACTTTCTAAATTAAAATTAAGTCATCCATTGTGTCGTTGAATGCAAATAAAGAGAATTGAATGAAGAAAATTTTCTTTTCAAAGGAATCATTTATTAATCTAGTAGTTATGCAAGAATGAAGGGACGAATGTTGAGAATAAATAAAATACAAGAAATGGGAGGAACACGAAAATAGTTTACTAAAGTTCTGTTACCAACTCACTCCTATACCGACGACCAAGATATTGAGAGTGGTTGTACAAACTTCATTTTGGTGTGGTTTGGTTTGTGAACATGGATTTCAATTGGTTCAAAATGTGCAGAAGATGAACTCGTAAACTGTGTGAGAAATTTGATGGAATATCGCGGATATTCTTATAGAGTTTTTTCAATTCAACTTGATGAGCTGTATCGACCAAGTGAGCGACAACAGAACTCTTAATTCATGTTCACAAGCCGAACCTTCACATCAAAATAAGTTTGTGTAACCACTCTCGCTAGCGCTGTCGCCGGTATAGGAGTGGATTTGTAACAGAACATTGATAAAACCCTCTCCTTTAAAAATATTTAAACCTTTTTCGAATTTCTCTCACTTTTGTATTTTACCTATTCTCAACATTCGTCTCTTGACTCTTACATAACTACTATAATACTGACCTTTCACCAAAATATATTATTAGTTCCTTCTTTCTATATATTATGTAACATAGCAACTGTCTGATTTCTGACTAATTACTTTGATTATTATATTCCTCTCAATGTTATTTTATGATCGATATATCATTATTTGATTATTGCGTAACGTAACTATTCGATGAGTGTTATTTCGTTGTTGCAAATCATATATATATATATATATATATATATATATATATATATATATATATATTACTAGTATAGGGGCTGTGGAGATTGAGATCATGAACCGATTGATGTTAGACCACCACAATTAAAAACCTGGAAGCACTGGACTGCCGTTTCGTCCTATTGTGGGACTCATCAGCAGTGCGCATCCACGATCCCGCGAGCGGGATATATATATGTAGAGCCATAATGAAAAACTAACTAAATACCAAGTTTTCCATGGTGGTCTATCTTTAATCGGCTCATGAATTCAACTATTAAATTACTACAATCTACAGAACCCCCGATTCCGAAAATATTAGTTAGTCAACACTTTAAAATCCAACAGATAACATTATAACTAGCAGCAAAACTGCGATGTTCTATTAAAGGATGACATATGAACAACAGATGTAAAACAATAAAGAAATGAATAGTCATATGATGGGCAAATAATTGAGGTTGTCTGTAGAATCTCAAGAGTATTAGTTCGTAAATAACCTATGGAGTCTGAATCTAGTAAATATTTGCGTTTAATAATAAATTTTAATTATCCTTATTTTGTGTTAGATATTCTAAGCATGAGTTCGTTATTGTTTAAGATGAAAGGACACATTTTTCTGACCAGTTATTTGTTCATTACAGGGTCGCGTCAATTACTCGGCATTGTACATAATAATCACTCAGACAATTGAGTACACATATCTAGAAATCTATTATTTTGTTTGTCCTTTATAACATAATGTAAAAACAGAAGGATAAAAAAGGTTTAGAAAACGGATGACAGTCAGATAATTCGAATTATATGTTAATGAAGACAATGTAGACTAAAATGTAGGGGAATTAAAGATAATGTTACTATAAAATGAGCATTCGATCATATTTAAATTAGATGTACGTATCGGATGCAAGGTTCAAGACGATGTAATGTGTAATAAAACCTTACATCCGATACTTAAGTTTCAAAAAGACAGCTAGTAATATTTTAATGCACTGATCTAGTAGAATTATCGAAATGAAGGTCAGTGTCGTTAAATTACCCGTCAACTTCTAAACCAGGTCTTTAAGAATTTAATCATGTAGGAATAAATTACCAATCAATATCTCACAAATGTGCGCCTACGTATTTAATTGTTTCTGTGAAGCTAGTCACGTGAACAGATGGAAAAATGGTTCATAGAATCTATAAATAATAAAAAACTTTCTCATTTGGTAAATAGTGAACGTCATATCAGAAAAAAGGAGGTTGTTTTCAATTATATACGAAGTCAAGGATAATTTGCCAAAAGACTCAAGACTATGCCTCTTTTATACAGAAGAAAATCATGGGATTAAGTCCAGAAAGTCAAATTTATGTACACATTTTCAAAAGAGAGATATTCAACCCCTGTGTTTACTCTGGTCCACAAGTGTTGTAACATTCATGATTGAATTGGCCCTGTTAGCGAAATATTATAAACTTACCTCCACTCCTACCATTTTTATTTGTACCTTTACGTTACTCCTCTCTATAAAATGTTCTTGATTTCATATTCATATTTCTTAGTCCACATAATATTCCGTTTAGTTATCAATAATAACTACTATAAAGAATTTGTTTTATGACCAAAGGATTCTATTCTATCTACCAAAATTTTCTAATGATACATTTTCTCAGTATATTGAGAACAACTGACTTGAGATCAACTAATTTCAATAAGAACACTAATTCAGTTACTGTATGTGGTTAATTACAACACACTACCGATTTATAGCAGTATAGCCTAGAGATGAACTTCTTGAAATTAATTATGTGTGAATATTATTATAAATATGGAAGATTTTAGAAAATTGACAAATTTGTATTTTGGATCACGAACTGGCTTCAACTAAATAAGCACTGAAAATTAGGGGACACCTGACAGCTGTTTATTCTTAGTATTGTTCTCTTTAGCAGTCTCTGATAACAAAAACTGACTGAGGTTAGAGATGTAAATCAACTGAGGGCTCCGAATTCTATCCCTAACTTGATTGTTTATGGGCACTGCGAAAGTTCTAGATGTTCGATTTTTCTTGGTTTCGAACAATACTTGATCATAAAAGTTATATCGGTAACTCAAAGTTAGTTGTTTATCTTACTAAATTACAATTTTCAAAGTTAATTTACATTTAGAAAACAATAACTAGTATTCTTTTCTGAATTGGTTTAATGGTTTCTGAACACAAAAAATAGATTTTATCATCTAATGAAATTCAATTAAATATCTTAAATATCCACTCAGTGCTGTCATTGCTACACTTGTCCTATGTGATAGACACGCTTGTTGACCATCGGATAAAAGTTGTTCTGAACGTTTTCTACGCTTATAATGTCCATATACATTGGGATCAAAATTTTCTGGATTCATTTCTTCTGTATCAAATTTATGATAACAACCCATGATATTTTGCCATGAAATAATTTTCATTAACCAATCAATTTTACAGATTTGCCAAAATCCTGCTAAACCACAAAATCCAACTGAAAATAAATAACAAAGAAAGTGAAAACTTTCAGTTAATCCTATTCACCAGAAATCGATTTATCTGTTTAAAGGAGAGTTCAATATTTTCGTATCTGATTGATATAACATTGAATCTACTTATAAACAAACTACTTTGATATAAATCACTCTATATGAAAGATAATAAATTATCCTTTGTTACGTGTACCTTGTATCTTGTGAGTAAATTCGACAATCATTCATCTTAACTATTACAAAATCTGGGATTTCAATAAACTAAAGATACGAATGATAAAACATACGCTGCACCTAAAAGTCATAGATTTATATTGAAATTATTGTAGTTACAGACTTGATAAATAGCTTATAGCAAATCTGTAATCACGCGCCTCCATGATTTGTTCTAACCTTTTTTCTAGTCTTACTATGGATAAAATATCCAGCATGTCTGACTTGGCGAATTACTCAAATGTAATCTTGAACGTGCTCTGATCATATGTATATATGCTAGCGCGGATGTTCGCATGCTTACCTGTATCTCTTTTATGTTTATAAAGACTGAATCACCTATTACTTACGCAGTTGGCATGCCTACTATCTTCGCTTCGCTTTGTTTTCCCCCTTTTCAACTTAATATCTATCTGAGTATGAAATAAATCCAAATCAATCCGTATTTGGCTTCTTCATATGATGGAATAACAAAAAGGAAAAATCAGATTTCGACTTCTGTTTTCAATTTAATGTGAGAGTACTTAGTGTAATATTTGTTTTATTCGCAGAGTTATATTTTATTCTGTATAACATTAATTTCTTTGAGTGTGATGTTTATTGAATACACAATATTCTTTGTGTTAAATTAACATGGACTATGCTCAGTGATTTCGTTCTAATTTATAATCAAAACGGGTGCATAATAAGTGTATTTTCGACTAAGGTCGTCGTCTTGTCCTGGGATTAGTAAATTTTTACTCGAACTAGTCTTAGCGTCATGCGAATTGCAGTGGTTCCTTTTTATCAAGTATAAGTAATGAGATGCGCGGATACAACAGCTCGTATTACAGCCGTTGCTCAAACAGAGTCAGCCTAGGTGTTATACACAGAATTAAACAGGAGATATATGTTCACGACATATTCATTTATTCATCTAAACCGAAGTCAACTTTCGGGCTATTACAAGCTAAATTAGTGATCAAAATTTGTTAACTATGCTGTAATTCATGTTTTAACACCGACTTCATAAACTCATACTGTCCTACAGAGCTTATATCTTTAGTGATCACAACCATATCAGTAGCTGTGGTTTATATCTCACCATTTTTATGAAGTTTGGTAATTCCAGGTAGATGAATGTGTCAAATATAAGCACATGGATACGAATGAAAATGTCTAAGCACCTGTTCTACAATTATTATTACTATTTAAACTTGGATTAATTTTAGTTTGGTTATTTATTCTCTGAAGAAGTGGCTTACACCTAGTCACGAAACGTCACAAAATCCGACCTTTCTTCTCATTGGGATATTACAAATATATTACTTATTTGCGACAATCTGCCCGATGCTCAAGTTATTCGAAGTTATCAAATCAAACCTTGGTAATGATACTTATTATTAAGCCCGTCTACATAGGGCGTACAATTTAACAAATCCATCGTCGTGTAGCATTACACCATCCATCTTGGTTGAGTAAATGACAGTTAAAGTTTATCTGAAATTTTATTATCGCTCAATTAGTAAAACAAAGTATTAAGTGAACTTTTAATGTTATCACATGTTATTCCATCAAATTTACCGCTTGGTTTACGTGTGAATCATCTACATACTTTTGAAGATATTGGAACTCATATTCATAGACCTAATCATCCCACTTGAAAGTAGTTTGTATAACCCCTCTCTCTATTTTGGCCATCAAAATAAGAGTAACTCATAACTCAACTTTGTTTCACTTCATTCTATTCAACAATCTAATTTCTTTCACCTTTTGAATGTTTACACAATTTCGATATTCGTCTTTTGACTTTCACACAAAAATCGTAAAATTGACTTTGCTAAAATATTTTGCCTACATTATTACTAAATATTATGTGGTCTGGCAACCATTAGGTTACATGTTTTTAATTTTCACAAGTAATTACCTTTTTAATTATAATTACAACATCCTCCTTTTAATCACTTGACACTATTTTCATATTCACTTATGAAACTATAAAATTATGCAACACTACTGCTCGATTTAAATGGGAATTTTCTATCTACTGTAACTTAAACTAGTCATCAATACACAATGACATGAAAACAAACCTTGTTCCATGAACAGATCCCTAAAATCAGTTGGAAAATTTTTACTGGCAATAATTTGAGCTTCAACTGCAACGTTTGTACATAACTGTTGCAAATATTTTTCAGTATTCATTTCCGGTTGATTGAATTTTAGAAGATAATCCAATGTTTCACTACAATTAGTCTTCGTTACAAGATAAGTGAAAATGAAAAATGGAAAACTCTTAGTATTCGGCATGAAAAAAACAACAAATTTTTGAAATAATTCGATATAAGATTACTGCAACACGGACTGGGTATAAATCAGGTGATTTTGTTAATGTCTTGGATGTGAGAAAATGGAGAGGACAAAATAACAAATCTTAATAATCATGATTTCAACCGTTTGTGAAGTTTTCAGCAAGAATCAATGATGTGAATTAAACTATAACACGATCTATGTAAACCTTTATTCAAATTTCAATAGTTTTGCAGCTAATGTTATTTTCTCTGAAGTTGAAAAATCCACATCAATCAATCAAACTCACACAAATCTACCTATAACATGTTAGCAATTGTTAAATTTCGTTGAATGTGGTCAGAATTACTATGTTCTTTAACAAACCCAAGTTTCATTGTTCCTTCTCTATTTTAAACCGAAAGGTCAAAGCTTAAATGTTTGATTCAGGATATCATGGCTTTCTATAAATATATTATATATGAGAATAATCACTGTATCCGAAACGTTTCCCAATGTTTATTGAGATTGATTAGATATTATTGATACTAACAATAGTCTACATACATGTATGAACATATTCTCACCTGTTTTCCAATCATAAAATAAAATACCTGGTGCGTAAGACCATATTCAGTTTCACTGTAATCAGTAGCTGACTTCCAGCATTGTTTTGAAATTTTACAGAAATCATCACTAAAAAAATTGTACAAAGAAATTAGCAAAAGTTTGAATATGGTGATTTATGATGGTAAACTACATGACCGATAACAACTGAATAATGTATAGACATTTACATTCACACAGTCGATAATGATATGTGAGATTCAGTTGAATTTTTCTGGTTTTTGATTATCATGATAGATAGCTTGAAGTATGTTTACTAGTTGAGCTGAAACTTTGCCTTTACTAGCAAATTTACTTGGTAAATCATCTGTTTGATGAGTTTGTTAAATGGCGTTTTCGGTTCATATTTAATTTTTCTTTCTGTGCAAATACATTATTTTCTGTCAAATGATTTAAACTAGTGGTAATATTAATGAGAAACTATTTCAGTTTAAAAGAACAGACGAACATATAAAGTTTTGAATTATCTATTTCAATAGTTTATTCTGCAAACTGATCATAATCAAATGTTCGTCAAAAATGTGGAAGTACTGAACAACTATTTCGTCAAAAGTGTATATCTACGGTCGCACCATAAGCCGAAATCAGAACCATCGATCTCATATCCAAGCCTCTAACCTCTTGACCACTGATCCAGTATCTGGTGATATACATCTCTAACTCCAATCAATTCGCGATATTGTGCGACCACCTTTCAAGGCCTGCTGTGGATAACTGTCTCACATCTGGCATATTCGAACCCAACGTAAAGTTATATTTTAGACAAGTTTACTAGAAATATGATATTCCTGTTAAACTAATCCTGGTATGGGGGTGTAGATAACTACTAAAATAATACATATAATTATAGTATAAGTATTCCTGACTGGAAATAAGGTGTAGATAGCAAATAAAATGAATCCACGTATTTTGTTCTACACTTATTACTGATTGTGGTCAAGGCGATAGGTTTGAATTACGATTGCATGATAAATTGACCAAAAAAGTTGCCCTTTATCACTTGATGTTCTTTTTGTTGCCCATTTACCGGTTTGATCGTATGATGATATTAACGAAATTCAGATGCTGCCTACCCTCATGCATATCTATTGACTTAATTCGCGTTAGAGAATAACGGGATAAATACGAGAATGAATTTTAGATACGTATATTTCATGCACCCGTTGATCCAGACAGAAAATCAAATAAACGAAGCGGAAAAACAGATCAGAGAAGGCAAACATGTCAACTGGATTTGATCATGCGTGACTCATTGTCTATAGCCAGATAAAGATAAGCTAAAGACATGTGATAAATGGGGTTAGCAATGGATACATATACATTCATACAAAAACAGTCAAGGTTACATTTTGATGGAGTTTTGTTCTCTGAACTGGATGGTTTGGTAGTGAAGCTTTCATCGTTATTCTGATTGAAATCGTCAGTACAAACTTCGGGTAGAAGTATGTTCGCAAACATAAATAACTTATGGTTCTACAAAACAGTGGTGAAATCATAAAACTAATCTAACCATAAATAATGATTCTACTAAATTCGGATCCACAAAATGTTATTAGAACTAATTTGAGTCAATGAAAATCATATATCCCCAGCTTAAAGTGTCCGTTATCACTTAAGTAAGTAGTTGCCATGCTTAAGATATGTAAGATTAGACAATAAATTGACTGACAGTAAAAGGCTTGACTATTTCAGCTAAAACAAACGAACTTTGTTTGAACGACTTATTCCCTGAACAAGTGGCTTACAGTGAGTCGAGAGATTTTCAATCATCCGGATATATATATATATATATATATATATATATATATATATATATATATATATATATATATAATTTTTGTTTATTTTCACATATATAAACTTAGAAATAAACTTATTACATGGAGTTGATATTAGAAGCCGATCTCCAAGATTCAATTATTCGCTCAAATAAATCCTTCCAGGATGTTTCGTATCTAGGTTGTTTACTATAATAATTGTACAATGTGGTCAGCCTAAGTGTAAAGTATGAAGTTAACTGAGGAGTTATACTTCATCATTGCCGCCATTCATAGTGTTGATAACGGTCATTTAAAAGCATATTTGACCTTTGAATTAGATGTTCAAACAGAAATTTTGTAGTTTTATCCTATACTTTACAGATGTTATGGTCAAAAGTAATGTGAACGTTGATGAAGATGGAATAACTGAAGCTATAAATTCCCTTATATAACAAAATGAATGAATTAAAAAGTCTCATACAGGAATATCAATAATTCGTATGAATATCTTGATATTGATGTGAATTAGAAACGTATGAGCGAAAGTAACTAAGCTGTTGTACTTCAAAAGATTGACAGTATGTTATAATTTCTGAAATTATAAAGACTTGAAATAATGTAAACGAGTATTCACTATGACAATTGCGGTTTCATATTTTGATTCATGTCAATTACAATTCAGTTTAAATAGTGATAAATATTAAAATCAGAAGATCAACGATTCTAAAATATTGCTACAGTTTAAAATTAGAAAAATATAAAAAAATTATTGAAACTCACACTGTCTTGTAAAGAAACTCTCTGAGACAATTATCACTCTTGTACTCTGTCCACGAATCACTTTTGTACTTTGACTTGTGTACCAAAGAATAGTTTAGTAGCGTGATCGGATAGAAACTATTCCATAGCTGCGGATCCAGCAAAAATCCTACACCTATAAAGTTAATTATAACAAACATACAATTAAGTGAAAAATATTTCGAAAATTCTTTCAAATACGTAAGGTTAAATAAACTGAATTCGTATAAAGTTGTCAGCAGAGTTTATTAAAAAAATGAAATAAATATGTAGAGCATTTTGAATGTGATTTCTGTATTTTATTTCACGTAATGAACGCCTGTCGATCTTCTAGGGTTAGTGCTGGTCCCAAGCCTGGGTAAAAAAGCAGGGTCGGGCATGGGGTCAGCAACCTCATACAGAAGAAAAACATCTTGCTAAAAGGAATGCCAAACAGAATAAACAAAATAAACAATTTAAACTTTGTCCTCCGAGTTGAACGATATTCAGTCAGATTACTTATGACTCCACAAGGTGAAGGTCGAGATTCTTCGGAAGTCAATGTCCATTAGCCGGATACCATCAACAAAAGCCTCATATGGAAGAGATCAAACCAGCTTCCAGCTGAAGATGAAATTATGAAAAGACGATGGAGTTAGTAGATAGAGTATACATTGATAAAATCACCAAACGGCATCACGAGGCAGGCGCTTACCTGGAATCCTGTAGGGAAACGGAAAAGAAAAAGGTCGAAGAATACACTACACCGAGAAGTTCATTCAGACATGAGAAGGATGAATAGCAACTGGAAAGGATTACCCAGTATATGATTGAATGGAGAATGCTGGTGGGTAGCCTTTGCTCCTCCACGTGGAGCAACAGGCGTGAGTAAGTAATGTCGAAAATAAAATATTCCTAATAATAGTCTGTTAGAACTTCAAACGGCAGACATATTATAACTTTCTGATCCGTATGAGTGTGAATTTGTCATAAAATCCTATTATGTTATGGATAAATTTCATAACTACATTATGTTTTTACATGCAGAAGTTTGCTTACCCCCATTTGTTAGTTTCTTATGTGTTAATGACACAGTAACTGTATATTGGACTTACTAATAAAATATTCCTTACATAGATTACAAATATATATCTATAATCATTGAACAAAAAAGGATTGAAAACAAGAACAATGTAATTTCTAATTCATTTTTGTACATGATTCAGAAGCTTTGGGATTTTTTGTCTCTGACATATTTCAATTATTCAAAGAACTGTTATTAACCTTCTTAACTATGTAATGAATATAAATTCATAATCAATTACGGAAAATTGATCAGCTGACAATCAAAAGTTTAACAGAAAAGTTTCATGAAAATGTCTTTAGATTCTATTCAAAGGTTAATGGAATTGAGTCGGAAGTTGGTTATCTAGTTTATTGACGTTCAGGTGATGTCAATAATAATAATATGTTATATAGTTATTACAATATAGAATTCTCGGAACACAATATTTTAAAAAACCTCTTATATCACGAAACATATAAAAATCCGCAAGCATATATATGCGAAATAAGTAAATACATTACATAAGAGTAAATGAAAAGTTTCTAAGAAAATAATTAAAAAAGAAAAACGATGCAACTGTGAATTAGCAACATAATGAAGAATTAAGTTGAAATTTGTGAATATACCCACCACTTGTTAGAGTTATGTTTTACTGTTAAAGACATTCCACTAAAGGATCTTCTCTCAATGATATACAAGCATTGTAGTGAAGGAGAACCTGATTCATACTTGGTAAAATACAAAAAACCCATACTATAATACTTAATTTGCAAAATGTTCAATAATTGTCTCGAACTTTGTTGTTCTTGCATTTCCATCCTAATTGCTGTCTATTCCCGCTCTTCCTTTCTTGATCTTCCCCATTTTCTGCTGCTAGACATTACATTCCTGACTCGCGTCATATACTACTTATATCAATATAAGTAGCACGCACCACAGTATGATCATAAATGAAATATTTATTTCTTTTTCTCAGAAATAAATACTAAAGCAGGCAATACACAAATGTCTACATAGATCTAACATGATCGCTAAATACTTTAGAAAAAAGAATAACTTAAACCAAATGAATTTCATTGAATGATAAAGTAGGTCTTTGTCTAAAAGAGTATATAGTTCATCCTCTAAAAAATAAAATATATGAAGACATAGTATTGATTAAACAGTTACAAAGGCCCAATAATAATATATATAGAAACGCTGAAAATTTCTTTTCGGCAATTGCTAAATGGTGAGTGTCTAGTACCTTCACGTTTTGTACTTATTCTATAAACTTTTTATAATAATTCTTATTAATTAGTTTTAGTATACATATGGACAAACTTTGTCTTTTATTAACAATATCTAGTCAACCATTTCAAAGCATTACAAAATGTATGAATATTTATTTATCTACTTACATAAATGTATCACAGGGAAATGAGCAAACATTCAAAAGTGAAACAACTCTCATTTAATATAATGAACAAACACTAACAATTTTCACTGGTTGTTGTTTCACCTGGAGACAGAAAAATATCTTATTTCAGTTTAGTCTAATGACTCCACTGAGAAGAACACTTAGTTCATGTGAACCAAGTATTAGTTGACTTTCTAAATTAAAATTAAGTCATCCATTGTGTCGTTGAATGCAAATAAAGAGAATTGAATGAAGAAAATTTTCTTTTCAAAGGAATCATTTATTAATCTAGTAGTTATGCAAGAATGAAGGGACGAATGTTGAGAATAAATAAAATACAAGAAATGGGAGGAACACGAAAATAGTTTACTAAAGTTCTGTTACCAACTCACTCCTATACCGACGACCAAGATATTGAGAGTGGTTGTACAAACTTCATTTTGGTGTGGTTTGGTTTGTGAACATGGATTTCAATTGGTTCAAAATGTGCAGAAGATGAACTCGTAAACTGTGTGAGAAATTTGATGGAATATCGCGGATATTCTTATAGACTTTATCCAATTCAACTTGATGAGCTGTATCGACCAAGTGAGCGACAATAGAAATCTTAATCACTCTTACATGTCGTTTGCTTAACCAAGACGGATGGTGTTCTGCTATGCAATGACGGACTTGCAGAATTGTACGCTCTATAGAACTGGCTCCACTGGAGCAGATGGATTGGTAAATAAACATGGATGTGCCAAATTTAGGCAATCCTTCATTATCAAATGTTCTTATTATTGGAAGGGTTGTAGTAGACGACACTCAGTTTTTCCGTATCGCTTTTTTTAACTTGCGTCACAATTTCCTACGTAGCATCATTTACCATTATTATTATTCAGCAAATGTGAAAATGTGAATTTCCATTTACATTGTACATTCTTATTCATGGGTAAATATATAAGTCTATAAAAAGATAGAAGAGATTGCATCACAAAGTGATTCAAGACTCCAACTATCGAATTAGGTTGCGTAAAAATCAAGGGGTTTGAAGAGAATAAGAGCACCAGAATAAGTTACGGGTCAGAGTTATAAGAGATAATTGTCCGTTTGACCAATATGAAGAGAAAAAATGAAAAGCCTAAACGTCATGATAACAACTGAAAAATGGTCGCGAAAGATTGTCAAAGGATAATAGTAACTGATTACGGTTCAAAATTACAAAACAATAATTTAAGAAAACCGAGACCAAAACATACCACAGAAAGGAATTAGGGCCAAAAGAGGATAAGAGTTTGGATGTATCATTTTTGCAAATTTCTTGTAAGTCACTTCTCAAGATCACTGAATCTAGCCGAATCTTAGTTACTTACCAAGTAGTGTAATCAAGCAGGTTAAGTGAAATAACGACCTGTAAATCCATTTGTTGTAAGTCTTAGATTTATAACTAAGGAGAATGGTCATTATATTTACAGGTGAGTTTTCGCTATCTCCAGTAACGTCTTTTCATTCTAGAAGTATATTTAATACTGATGTAGATAACTTTTTACATAATCTCTTATTATGTGTAGCTTATCATAATAGCATGAATTGTCAGTGATTAAACAAAAATTAGGCAAACACTATTGTTTATTTTACTTATGATGCAACAATGTTTTAGCTGGCAACAATATTAAATGATCTATGTTGTTAGATTTAGGGTTCACAACCAAGTCGAATAAGCATTTGAGTTTGAATGGATGTGACACTGATAAGTTCGAAACATTTATGTTCAGTTTTAGAGTAATTTTGTTCATGGGACTAGATGTGTAATAAAACTGGATGATGCTTCTTTCATTAGATGTATATGCATCTTTACACCTTGTTGTAATCACGTCTAGAATTGTGGTTAGACATAAATAAGATAACAAATTGTGGAATTCTTTCTTAGTATGTTGTACTTTGATTAGCGTATTATCCAAAGGGTAGCAATATTTTGTTAGAAACTTTTAATATAAACGCTTTATCTCGGTGGTATTGTGGTGTGTGCTACTTATGTCGACAGATATAAGTAGTATGCATTACTAATCGAAATTGGAGTGCCTGGCAGCAAAAGGTTGAAAAGATCGAATAGAAGAGAATAGCAACATAGAGTGATTGGTAAGGAAATGAAGGAAAAACAAAGTCTGAGACAATTGATGCATATTTTGCAAATGAAGTATTTAATGTATGATATTCACATTTTGCCAAATAACTCTTTGATTCTGTGCTCAAATACGTTTAGCCGCCCCCATCTGTGTTTTCGTTTGTTACAGTCTAATGTCAAACCATTCGTTGATTTAATTATTAGTAAATTTAAGCGAAGAACAATATATTTTTGAAAAATAGTTTAACTATTTAAAGTGTTGAATAACCAACTTTTGTTGTTGACTTAATTTAATTTTAATTTTATATCCATTTAACTTGTAACTTCATTTGGAAAAGTCCCATTCAACTCCCATGATGCTATATTCTAATTTTACAAAAGTCATAAATTTGTAATAAAGTTGATATGCTATAAGACGGTGAATGGGAAACTATTTCAGTAGATCAAAGTCGTACATGGATCATATAATGAAAAGTTATCTACATTATGTTTTACTTAAACATTTAACAGTTTATCAAATGTTATAACTTAGTTAGTAAAAGATGATATCATACTACATAGACTAAATAAACTGTTTAATCCACA